CACGAAATAGCTTGTAATACTCTGTTGAAGTATCTACTAACTGTCACCCCTGATCTTATGAATTGTATTCTCACCATACGATTTTTAGATTTATGGCCTAATATATTCAATGTTATGGTAAGCTGCTCCTCTATTGTTATATGCCTTGAGTCCTTTAAGAGATATTTTCCTCATTAACTTTGCTAGTTTCATAAAAGCACCTGAGCGTATTCTAACAAAGTTTTGACAGCTATCACTATAACTGTGATATATACGACTCATTAACTCTGCCCTAGTCTTTTCCTGCCTTAGTCTTTCATCACTTAGTCTAGACCGTATTGATTTTGCGATCATAGCAACAATCTAAGTAACTGCATCGTGCAAGTAATTGAAGGGATTTATTCTTTTATTTTATCTTTTATCTCCAATTTCCGCACTTTCTAAAGCCCCTGTTTTTTGGTAATTTGTAATTTTTTTCCAAGTAACAATTGATCAAAGTTTGCTGCTCTTATTTCCTAACCCCAACATGAGCGGGTCTATTTCCTCTATCTGAAAGCTTCTAATTAAATCCAATTAGAGATTACAACTAGCTACTGTGACTGTCTATTATATAACAAATTTTCATTCTTTAGTTAATCTGTTGTCATTTTTTGATTCAGATAAATTTAAATTGTTGTCATTATTTCAAGTCTTTAGTTAAACTGTTGACATTACTGCCAGTCTTCAGTTTTAGAGATTATAACTAGCTACCGATAATGTCTTTAATTAATGTGTTCTATCATTAAAACTATCTGCTGGGTAATACCAACTTATTTACTAAATGGGGTGTATAATAAAATTATATGCTGGGTAAGAGTTTCTTTGGCCAAATCTGAGAAGCAATGCAACAACATGCTGCTATTTTACAAAAATTATGTGCTCAAAGGATGGTTATTCACTTGTGTATATTTTTATGCATGATTCATTCACAGTAGTTATTCACTTGTGTTATCTTTATTGGTTATTAATAAGTCCAAAACCCTACAACAAATAATTTGAGTATGGGGTTAATATGTATATGTTTTGATTTTTAATTTAAAATTTTAACTTATAAGTAAAAATTGTAGATGGATGGTGATTTTGATGATGAAGAGATTGTTATAAGAATGTGTACATGGGGCTGCATTTTCAGTCATGGTTATAGTTTTCATATTTTTGAGGAGAATGAAGTGCCGCCGTAAACCCCCCAAATCACAAGGTTAATTTTTAAGGATAAATTCAGAAAATTTGATGTATGGTGAAAATTTATAACTAATTTGCTCTATGAGGAGGTATACCTGAAGAAAAAGTCAGATCGAACCTCTAGCGGGTGAAGGTGAGGGAATCCCCGTTCAAGGACAAAACCAGACTGATCAGGTGCAGATTTGACTACGCCGCAACAAGTAGAAGAAGATAAGAAGTAGAAATCACCCAAAAGGGGTATTTTTCTGCTAGATCTGGCTAAGCTAACACAAACAGCCCCTGAATGATCGTCGAGAGCTTCTTTCCTCTTCAAGTTCATCAGCTGGAAGTATTGGCTAGAATATTAGAGAAATCAAGGAGGCAGAGCAATGGATACGACAAGCGGTGAAAGGGGGAAATGATGAAGATGACGAAGAGGCGGTGAAGGGAACCCTAAAAGCTTTTCCCAGTTTTCTTCCCGCCGCCTCGATAAATCAGCCACGATAATATTTTAATGGGCACTTAGAGATTTCCGCCCGTTTTCAAGCCTTTGTAGCATGAAATCACATTTCTACAAAATATAATGTAGAACCTCATTTCAGGACCCTTTTTCTATAAATCGTCATGCGAACCAAACAAGTGAAATGGAAATCATCCAAAACCTAAATCCTATGTGGCACTCAATTTGGTTTTCAGATCACCCTTTTCCTCAATTTTTGGGCAAACAAAAAGCCCCTAAAAAGAAGTGTGTTGGTGTCAAAAAATCTCATATATATATATATAAATATGATTTAAATGAAATATTTAAATGAGTGAAGGGTAATATTTCATTTAAATAGTGAAGGGTAATATATATATACTCATTTTCGAAGCACGCGTTCAGGAAAAACTTTCTATGATCAATATTACCCTTCGCTATTTTGAATATTTCATTTAAATCTTAATCTATCCTAATCATAATTATATCTTATCCTAATCCAATGCGTACTACCCATAGCTCAACAATTTAAAAAATAAGGTTAACAAAATACTTAAAACATCTGCATTGTATTAATTTGTCAAGGAAAAGAACTCGCATGTTATAATATATGAAGTATTACAAAATAACCCAGAAAGTTTCAAAAATTGCACAAAATATCCTCAAAACTTTAAAATTACACAAAACATCCTGGCATTTCATAACTTAAAACAATAAATATGAAATCTGAAAATTAACACCTACCTTTGAAGAATTTAAAATCTGTAAATAACACCTTCTGTGAGACCCTAACTTTAGTCCCACATCAGGTGTTTATAGTGAAATTGTGTGGCTTAAATAGGTAAGCTCAAGACTCAAGTATAACATTGGCTAGTCATTTTTGGCAGTTGATTAAGCCAAATATACTTATGTAAATGTTTTTACCATATAAAAGTATACTAGAGTTAGCATTAATCTTTAATTTATAATTTTTTAAAGTCTATCAAAGATTTGGAACAAAATACATATTCTCTTTTGTGTTGTTTTAATCCACTTTTAACCAATAATCTTGTCTTATTAGATTTAATTATTCATTTTCTTTCTGTAACGCTATTGTTTCAAGTGTTTTTCACTATTGCAATAATATACATTCTCAGGTCATGTTTGATTTCATGTCGGCCCAAATAACATAATTATTTAAATTGGTTTCATATTGTATTTATTTTCAATCATTTCAATTATCAACATGAAAATTTAAATAGGATGTAGTTTACTTAAACGTACATTAAAGAAAATAAATAATCACAATGCTAAAGTTTAGAGACATAAGCGAGCAAAGACAATTAAAGTGAAACCTAGGAACAAATTTTAGTAAGGAAATAAACCAAAATACTTAATCATAACATTTAACTACGTGCATTGCACGTGCATAGAACATAGTACACATATACTATTATAATGCACGTGCGTTACACATGGACATATTTATTTTTTTTTAATTTTCATAATAAAATCTCATATTATATGGCAAAAAATATCAATTCGATGTTACAAATTTGTTCAAAAGGAAAAAGATATCAACTATTCAAAGGAACTCTCTTCCGAATAATTTGCAAGACATCTGTCAGCGCAAGTTCTCAACCAACAGTATGAAATATTCTATTCTTGAACTAAAAAATTTGACATAAATATATTAATTGCTAATCCCTTCACATTTACATTCAGTGTATAAATATTTTAGAATTAAACAACTGAGATAAATAAAGGAGGAATAAGAACAGTTACGGAGAGTATGTTTCATTACGATGTCTCATAAAGTTGATGAGAGTTTTGCAGCTCATCTCATTTTAGTTAATGTTTTATCTTTTAATTTTTTTTCATATATATTCACAGAGAATCACAAATTCTATCTTTTTGGTTCAAAATTTGTCATTGATAATATGATCTTCCATTGTTGTACGTCCAACTTCATTCTAAATCATGGTACCTATCTCATAGCCTCGTCATCATCTCTCATGATAAAAAAAATCTTTGTTAAGACCAATATGTAGTTCCATAAAGTACTCATCTTGACATAAGAGTAGATATTACTATTTTTCTAGGAAATTAATGATGCCAACAAATATTAAGAAAACAGTAATAAAGACATTCATAAGGTATATAGAACTCGATACAAGGACAAATGCAAGTCTTTAATGTTTAAGTTAGGATATTAAAATGGACAAGAATAAAGTCTACAAATTTTTTAAGGCTAAATGGCATTTTAATACCTTATATTTTCACTCTCTCAGCACTTATATACCCTAAGTTGTATTTCATAGCATTTATATACCTTGAGTTGCTCAAAATTGGCATGTTAATACCTTATGTTTTGCAAACGTAAAAATTTTTATTCAAAAGTTTCAATATACTATTTATATGCTAATCTTATAACTTTCTCTCTAATAAGGTTGTTGAACGTATTGTTAAATCTTTCTAAATTCTATTTTTGAAATACAATTATGATACATTTAAACTAGAATTTGGGTATGTTTAATAGTAATTTAATCAATATAAATAGTTAAAAAGCTCTAAAATTAGCATATGAATATTATATGAAAGCTTTCATATGACATTTTTTTATGTTTGTAAAATGTAGGGTATTAACTTACAAATTTTAACCAATTAAGGGTATATAAATGCTACGAAATAAAACTGAGGATGTAAATAAACGCTAAAGGAGTGAAACTATAAGGTATTTAAATGCTATTAGTACATACAAAATTGTCAAGTCCTTTCATATTAAGTTATATGATGATTTTAATATGTTTCATTAATGTTTAAAAAGGGCTAATGAACATATACCAAGAATAATCAATTATAAAAATAAAAATTTTAAAAAGAAATTTCAAAAGCCAAGTTTGTACCGAGTTAAGATGGAAATAAGATGTATAACGCACATATTTATTCCAAGTAATCATGAGAGAGCAGAAAGTTAGAACATCATCATAATTATTTTTTATTCCTATATGCATTGCACGTATCGAAAATTGAGCTGTGTAACCAACATCTCACAATTGATTAGTATCTAAACATCATTATACAGTAAGACATTCAGAATCAACTTCCACATCTTCAATTATAATATATTGTTTACAATAACATTAATTTATTATGTATGATTAACATTATAAATATGCTCTTCTCTTTTGTAGTAAGATTGAGAAATACAAAAATGCTTATTTATTTATAATATATTATTTCCAAATTGAGTTGCATGTTTTTATAATATAGCATTATATTTCTATATTTAGTACTCCAGGGAACACGATGCGTGCATATAGAAATATCAAACACGTCCCCATCTTTGAGTTGGCGCCTATCCTGTTTAATCCCCATAAGGAGTGGTTGCATCTCAAAGTTGTACTTCTGGTTGCCAGCATTCAAGAAAAATAGGGAAGTGCCCAGCGCGGAGATGTTAGCATGAACACCCCCGGCAATGGCAACCAATTCTGGAAATCGCTTCCTCAAATTTTCGGGTGCAATATTTGTGTACAAAGTCGGAACATAATATTGAAAGAAGCGCGCCAACAGATAATGTATTGGGAAGGGTTATGCTCTTTCGGCTTGGGGTCTTGCTAGTAGAAATTTGGAGGAGCGAGTGATATCTTTTATCCCTTGGGCCATTTTGTTAGCCATTACAAAAGTCTCTGGCTTTATGTACTTTGAGATAGAAGGCATGACGAATAGACTTAATTAGCCGTAACCCAGTAATATGCCTAAAAGCTTTGAGAACTTTCCTCAGGGACTCAGGCCACCTATAAATTTCATACCCCCGCCGCCTTAGTAGGCACTTCCTTACCAAAGAACTCTGAATCAAAGGGAATATACTCCTCATATATACCAGTCCCCATGAATCGACAGACCGGAGGCTGCCCGTAGATCCCATAGCGTCGTAAGTCCACTCGCGGTCCTCTAGGCCGTATGTGTTCAGTCTCGTGATTCCAGTTTTCAATGAAGCCTTTGAGAAACTTTGTAGGGGCCATTTCATAATCAAACATTGAAACATATATACGCTGCTTTATAGACATCGAATTTGATCAAACTGTCTCTGAACTAGATTAACATGTATCTTGTCCACTCAACAAACCCTTCAATATTGCGGTATTTCGGCATCTTGCGCACCCAAAAAGAAGTTCCCCATTATTCAATATTCCCTTTTGCCATCTAACCTCCTAACAAGTCCATACTACTCAGCAAGTTGATTGAGTTGTTGCATGGTTCTAGCACTCGGATTGACAGATTCCCACTCTCGCTTACTATATATATCTCCTTCATACAAAGATGAAATTGCCCTCCGAACCAACGGAGTCGAGTCTTTGATATTCTCCAACATGGATATTAGCTCATGGCCAGCCTCCAAATTCTCTAGGAAGGGGATTGTTGCGAAGAAAAGCCCATTATATTTGTCCCGGCCTTTAAGCATAAGATTCACCCAATCCCACCAATCAAACCTGAAACAGCCCTCAGGGTTAACTTCAACGAATCTCTTCATCGATCTGAAGGCTCATGCAAGGGGAGTTTGGCCGATCTAACCCAATTGAAAGACATGACCTGTGAGAGAAATGAAGATATACACAGGCATTAGTAAAAGTACATGCCAATACGAATTTAAAATTCTAGCGTAACTTCAATGATGTGTATGCAAGTTCTAAGCCAGTGCTGATTCAATGATACATGCAGTGCGCTTCTCACGCGCGGCATATGCGTAAGAAACACACTGGGGGGCATTTGTGGAAGGTGGTTTTTAGAATTTAAACGGGGATATGTACTTTCGGCTTATATCTTACGAGCTCGAATCTACTGGCTAGGGGCAAGTCATGATGCCAATACGATTTCAATAGAAAATTATAGACACTTGATGCCGGGAGTGTTAATGACCAAATCTATATACTATTACTAAAAACTCTTACCCTTCAAAACGCCACTTGGCAAAAATGACACATGGCAAAAAATAACACATACCCTTGAAAACGCCACATGACATCAATTTCGGTTCCCAACATTATTCATTATCTTGAAAATAACAATATTTTTTCATTATTTAATCTATTACTATCAATTTCGGTTCCCTATATTATTTTGGGAAAAGATAACTTGTATTTAATCTCTAGCTCCTCTCCCTCCCTCCCACAAAACTCTGAGTTCAACCTTCTCATCTTCCCAAAGCAATTGTCTGCTTTTTCCAACGCATCATCATCATCATCATCATCATCATCATATGTTCAATTGATCATATTCAGTTCCCAAAGCATCAAAGCTTCTCTCCCTCATGGAGTCCCCTCATGGAGTCCAGAGCCTTTTTCCTCAAATCCTGCTCCTCCTCCTCCTCCAAAATTCCCCAAGAGAAGTCAGCGATGAGAAGTCGGCAAAGTGCGGTCGAAGGCGCTGCACCTACTTCAATGGAAACTGCGATGACAGCTCCGACGATGAATTCGTCGGCGATTCCCCTCCGATCGTCGCCGCTGGATCCGACGACGCGCTGGAGATCATTAAGGTAGTAGTTTTGATCTTGTAAGATATTTGATGAAGTTTTTTTTTTTGGTCAAAATTTAGATAGTTTTGTTCCTAATTTGTAGGGCTTAGTTCCATGCGAGAGCCTATCAGAGCGCAATCTGTTGGCGGACGCATCAAAGATCGTGGAAACTAATAAAACCAAGATCGGAAAGGGTAAAGATGTTTGCATCAAGTTCGTAACTGAAAATTTGCAGTCTTTAGGTTATGATGCCTCCATCTGCAAGTCTAAATGAGATAAAACTCTTTCGATTCCAGCTGGTACGTTTATTTTAGAAAAAAATCCCTCCTTTCTTATTGTTATCTCGACTACTTAGGTCCCGGTTATGCTGTTTTTTGCGATTCATAATATAAAAGTCTTGCATATATGACTTCATTTCTCTGGTTGAAAAGATGCACTCACAAAGTTTTTCGATGATGGTTGCAGTATCATGAATCTAATTGGAGTTTTAAAGTTCAAGAAGATGGGGGAGGATTTTGCTCGCAATTCTGGCCTTCCTTATACCATTATCAGGTCTATTACTTATTACTAATATATTAATGCTTAAATAAATTTCTTCATCTATATGAACTTGTAGAATGGTAAAAAATTTTGACTGAAACATTCCATTTTTTTTGCTTATCAGGGCTGGGAGATTGACTGATGGACCTTATACTTCTTATGATTTAAATACGCTTATTAAAGCAATTGCTGGAGAAAGGAGAGCAGTAGTTATAGGCCAAGGTATCACTTTTCCGATCTCAAACATTAAAATATTAGCAGTTTTTGTATATCTCTAACTATAGTTTGAAGTTCTAATTCCAAAACCCTGTAACAATGTGAGACTCAAAATTGCTTGATGTACATTTTCAATCTGCAGTCCATATGCAAAACTTGATATAAGTTAACAAACACGGCCTATTCAAATAATTTCTACCAAATAAAATGGCATGATATTGGTCATGGAAAGCTAGCTTGTATATGGACTTAGAGAAGTATGCATCACAAAAAAAGTTAACAAAAGAGATTTAATAGAATTAAACGGAAGGATAATAATCATGTAGCCGACCCCCAAAATCTGGGATAAAAGCTTTGTTGTTCTGTTTGAAATTGCTCATTGAAAGTTAGTTAAGGAAAGAAATAATCTTCTGAATTTGTGAAAAATCGGTTGCCATATAACTAGAAGCTAGAAAGATTCTTTCAAATTTCACTATCATACAGATATTAAGGGTTAAATTCACAACGTTGCCATGAAATTTGGAGGGTTTTGCACAAAACTACCATTAACTTTTTTTATTAGATAACTACAATGAAAAATTGTAGAAAAATCCCATAAACTATAGGAAATTTTTACTGGCGGGTTATTTATGTCCACCAATCTGGAAAATTCACAGGACAAATATAGAAGATATATAAAGTACACCAGAACTAAATTGTCTAAAACGTGTCGTGTGTTAAGCATGTGACAACCTACACTCATTGTCATCAGGCATGATAGTTTAGTGAAAAGGTCATGGTAGTTTCTCTAATAATCATGGTAATGTTAGCATACCATATCCTTAATCAATAGCACTTACTCCTCTTTATCACAGTAGTTTTGTGGATTGTAATCAACATTGTACAACAATATAGTGATATTTCTCAGCTTGCATCTGCATGCTACAATCGATGGATATTTTGTTGCAAAACTTTTTGTAATCATGTTGCATTATGATAAATTACAAAACGAGGGGTTGTAACCAGTTACTTAAAATTGATATTTTTTTGTTGTTCAAGAGATAAACTTGTGGGCGAGGTTAGTAGACTTGTAATGGCAGAAGCCTGCATACAAGCTCTCGATATAGATTTTACCAAGGGACAAATTTCAAGGAAGGCTGCAGAGGTTGTTGGACTCACCATAGTTCAGGTTGAAAGATATTGATTTATATCTTGTACCCTTTCAATTACTATCCAATTAGATGTATGATTTTATATTTTATGCAGCTTTCAGAGACAGCTTAAATTTGAACCAGGTACATTACATATTTCCTTCTTTTATAGAGCTACATATTTATTCATTTCATGTATCAATCTGCATATATAGATGAGGTTGAGCAATATATTAGTAATCTTTTTTAAGTTTACCCATTTTTTGTACTTTTTTGACATTTCACTTTAATTTTGAATTTTTTTCTACCTTATAAATAATAAAATAACTCCCACCATATTTCTGAATACCGTTTTTACACATTTACATTTTTCAAACTATATATGATCTTAAACTGGTTCAAGTTTTCCAAACTTTCTAATTTTCTAAACTATATATGCAACTTAGGTTGTATCATTTCTGATTACTTATATATTATTACTGTTTTATTTTGTATTTTTTTGCTACATCAATTTTTGTATATTAAACAAATCCGTGCATCGCATGGGCCTAAAACTAGTAAACAAGAAACGAGAACTTCCCCGTTCGGGCGGCCCACAAGTCTTGGCCCATGAATCAAACGTGAGAATATCATGTTTCACATAATAAAAGGAAAATTAAGATTATAAGATTCCACTATTTTCCATCAGTCTATCTTATTTACTGTCCAATACAATCAAGAGAAAAGAGATTGAAATAAACAAGAAAAACCGAAATAATTGGCAACTCAATATGGCAAGGGGGATTACAGTGTCATTAATCCTATAAATACATAGGAAAGAAAAAAATCTACGAGAATCCAAGAGAATAACAAATAGAGCAAAGAGGAAACCTGGTTAAAGAATCTACCATATAAAAGTCAGAAATTACCTGATAAATTGCGACCTCCTCGTATCCTCTATAAAAAAAGGGGAAAACCCTAGCAACTAAAAAGATCCCAGCAGATCAAAACCCCCACACCAAAAATTCCCGAGCAAGAAAAAAAAAAGGAGATCAAGAGTTGAAGAGGTCGCTGTCGTGTTTCTCTGGCTCGATTGCTCTCTTTTCTCAAAGAAAAAGCCAAGAAGAAGTTAAACCCAAACCCCAAAAAAAGAAAAAAAAAGAGCCTCTAACCCCTTTATCAAATCCCACGCATACTTTATGTGATCGTGTGCCCCAGCCTGGCAAAAGAAAACAATCCAGCGGTTAAATGTCATGTGAACGGGTAAAAGAAAAGAGTCCAGCGGGTAAACATCCAAGGCCCAAAGTTTTCTCCTATAAATATCCATTGGTCCCTAGGGTTTCGGGTGTGGGAAGTTTACTCGGCTGCAGCTAGTTGGGAAAAGCTACGGAAAAAGGCAGCGGGGGGAACAGCGGCTTTAGAGAAAGAAAAAGTCTGCGGGAAGAAAAGTTTGCAGAGGGTTTAGCCGGCTGTTTATTGAGAGAAAAATAGTGAGATTTTGAGGAGAGAAAAAGAGAGATTTACAAAAGAGAGGTCAATTTCTTTTGGGTAAAAATTAGATCTTTTTCTTTGAGACGAGCTTGTGGATTGTACAAGTCGTCGGTGTTCTCCTTATAGTGGAATCTCCCCTCACCCCTCCCGTGGACGTAGGCAAGTTTGCCGAACCACGTAAATCTTGTGTATTTACTGTTTTCTGGGTTATTGGCTATTGCTTGTAGGATCCCTCAAAATTCGGTCGTAGAGCTGATGAGAGGAAGAGTGTATATTTCACTTTGATGAGATATATCACTTTCAATTCTTGTTTCCTTTGAGAAATAAGAATTTCATTATCTATTCGCGTTTCCTTTGAGAAACAAGAATACAGAGGTTGACTTGTGCTTTTGGGACAACAAAAGCCAGGGCTCTCTCTCAGGTGATATCGCTTCCGCGGCGGTGGGCGTGACTCTACGCCCAACACTTTATCATCCTCCAAAACCTCTGACCCCGCCTCAGCCCACCAACCACCAACCCATTTCATCAAATTTCATGCGTATCATTAGCAGTAAACAAACAAACAAACAAACAGAAAAAGAAAAAGAAATAGAGAGCACAAAGAAACCCATCTTTTTTATGATTTGCAAATCCTCCCTGCTGTTTTCTCTACCTTGCAACATCAAAATCCATTGGATGCAAAATAACAATATAAAAAATATAAAAAATAAATTTTTTTTTGCATAAGTGCGCGTATAATAATAATATTACAGAGTTTATGTACTCTTTTTCAAAGTCCATGCACTCTTTTTCGGAGTCCTCACACTCCTTTTGGTAGAGTCCATGCGCTCTCTTTCGAAGTCCCTGCACTCTTTTTAACAGGTCCCTGCATTTTTTTTAGAATATCTGCATTCTTTACGGAGTCCTTGTACTCTTATTACGGAGTGTAGGTACTCCTTATTGAATCGATGTACTCACCTTAAAAAATTAACTACACATAGGGTGTCCAAAAAGCCCACTAGCCCGGGCCCGGCCCGGCCTCGGCCCGGAAACCCGGGCCAAGTCCGGGCTCCGGGCCGGGTCCGGGCCGTCTTTTTGGTGCCCGGCCCAAAATAGTGTTTTTTATTTTTTTTTATTTTTTATATGTATTATATATGTATATATAATATATTTTTATATATGTATAATATATGTATATATATATATATATATAATATATGTATATATAATATATTTCTATATATGTATAATATGTGTGTGTATATATACTCTCTCTTATATATGTATAATGTATGTATGTATGTATATATATACTCTTTCTTATACTATACATGTATATATAAGTATACTCTCTCTTATATAAGTATATATAGGTATACACTCTCTTATATATGTATAATATATGTGTGTATATATATATACTCTCTCTCTTAGTATATATGTATATATAAGTATACTCTCTCTTATATATGTATAATATGTGTGTGTATACTCTCTCTCTTTAGTATAATTGTAATATAAGTATACTCTCTTATATATGTATAGTCTCTCTTATATAAGTATACTATAAGTATACACTCTCTATATATGTAAATATATGGTGTATATATATATTACTCTCTCTCTGTTATATAGTGTCATATATAAGTATACTCTCTTCTTATATATGTATAATATGTGTGTAATGTATACTCTACTCTCTTAGTATATATGTTATATGATAATAACTCTCTCTTATATAAGTAAATATACGTTATACACTCTGCTTATTTTATATGATTCATATGTATACCCCTCTTTAAAGGTTCATCTCTCTTATATATGTATCCCTCTAAATGAAGTTACTCTCTCTTATATATGTATAATATTCGATGTGTTATACTCTCCTACTCTAGTATATAAGTATAGTATATTACAACGGTTACTTCTTCCCATTGGCCCAACGGACAATGACTACTTATGCCGATTTCTCTCTCTCAAGTTTAGAATATATAAATATATATAATATTTTACATATAATATATGTATATATAATATATATAAATATGTATATATAATATATAGTTACATAATAATTTATAATAATTATAAGTATATACTAATACATAATTATATAAAATTAATAAATTTAAACTAATTTTTAGCATTTTTTATCAAAAAAAAAGAAAAGAAAAAAATGAAAAAATCCGGGCCGACACGGGCCCGGCCCGGTGGGCCTGGGCCCCGGCCCGGAACCCGGCCCGGGGTACCCAGGTCCGGGTCCGGGCTCCGGTTTTGCCCGGCCCGGGCCCGGATTTCCGGGCTGGGCCGGGCCGGGCCGTTCCGGATGGACAGGCCTAACTACACATGATTTGGATATAATGAATCACAATTATTTTGACGAATTCATGAACATGGGTTAATATATGAGTAATTTCTTTTAACAAGACGATGTGTGAGTATATGCGTGCCTAAGGTGACAATAAATAAATAAAAACATCCATGAAGAAAATTAAGACTCACTTGAACTTAATCGCAGGGGACGATGGACATGAATACATGATTCAATGCGTTCTTCAAGGTTCTTTTATAAGATGAAGGCATTAGATCTCCTAGTGGGACTATAATTCAAGTCTAATAAGATTTGCGTCCTAGTCTTAATTGGATGCCCTCCATAATTTTTCAAAAAGAGAATTATAGATGAGAGACCCTTTAAAAAATTATAGTTTGCCCCCCTAGAAATAATGAAACTGTAAATCAGTCCAGCTAATTATATTTCAGTCCCTGAGAAATACTAAAACTACAAATCAGTCCAGCGAATTACATTTTAGTCCCTGGATAATCCAAAAACTGTAATACAGTCCAGAATTTATAGTTTACTCTGTGAAAAGCTGCAGAAATGTAAAACAATCCAGAACTTGCAATTTACTGCATAAAAAGCTTCAGAATTGTAAAACAACCTAGAATTTACAGTTTACGCCCCCCAAAAAATAAAAATTGTATTTAAGCCCAAATTTGTAGGAAAAAAACAATCCAAAAAATTACAGTTCACCCTCTAAAAATACATGAATTACAGTTTGATCCATTACAGTTCAGTCCAATTCACAGTTTGGTCTCCTAGAAAGAACTAGAAGTTGTGGAGTTGGCACGTTCGTTCAACCGCAGATTAATCCTTGAAAAAATGTAAAAAAATACAAAATTCAAATAATTAAACTTGGCATAGACCTCTACGTCCATAAACCGGGTGAAAGAATATTTTGTGTGAAAAGAAATGCACTTGAAAAGAACCTTGCGTAAAGAAATATGCGACAATAAGTTTAAGATCACAAGGTTCAATTGTGTCGACCCCTAAGTCGTTAAACTAACCTAAATACACAATGCAAACCAAATCAAATTCGACCTCTACGTCGTTAAACTTGAAAATTTTCTAAATTTGACCTTTATATCGATAAACTAGACAAAATTTTAAATTTGACCTCTACGTCGTTGAACTGGATAAAATATTAACTTTGACCTCCACCTCCCTAAACTGGAAAATACCAAGAATTAACCCCTAAGTCATTAAACTGGAAAATACTAAATTTGACCTCCACATCACATAAACTGGAAAAATATCATATTCGACCTCCACGTCTTTAAACTGGAATTTTTTTTTAAATTTGACCTCTACGTTGTTAAACTGGATAAAACACAAAATTTAACCTCCATATCCCTAAACTAGAAAAATACCAAAATTGACCCCTAAGTCTTATCAAATTAAAAATTATCAAATTTGACCTCTACGTCGTTAAACTGGACTGAATCTCAAATTTGACCTCCGCCTCTCTAGACTGGGCTCAAAGTCTAAATTTCATTTTACGTCTCCAAGTCAAATTCAAACCCAAATTTCAAACCGCTGTATCTCTAGTCTAGGACTTTATATGAAAATTTTGTACATTGGGTGTATGCCCCTGGTTAAGCCATGTATATAATTATAAAAAATTTATATATTATTGCACTTTCTTGCTTTGTGAGCTTTCTCTTGTTTTGATGATTTTTATTGACTCTTAATTGAAAGTTCCTTTCATCAGTAAGGTAATTAATAATAGACTATTGAGTCTATTGGTAACTTTGAACCCATATAAAAATAAAACTCTCCCATAGGGTGAATTTGACGGGATCAATATATGAGACAAAGTTATCTATCTTAAATAGATTCATTTATTCGCATCTAGTTGAGATAGATAATTTTGACCTCATAGGACCTCTCGGTCTTAGCGGTTGCACTCGGCCTTGCCAACCGAGTTGCAACCTCTGCAGTCTTCGCTACTATCTTCTCAGCCTCCTTCAGGACCAACTCATTTCTCAGGCGCCTTTGGGGCCTGATTGATGACCTCGACTGTGTCTCTTTTGAGTCTTTGAGGGGAGCACCAAGACTGCAGCCCGGATCTTATCCTCACCAATAGGCAGCACATATGATAGGCCTACCACTCGGAGAACAGCTGACTCGAAGATAGTGCTAATTTCCCTCGATCGGGCATAAGCTAGAACCTTGTTGAACCCCTGTTTCTCCTTGTTTGTGGGTAGACCAAGTTTCAGCATGTCCTTCTTGATCTCTAGCCATGTTAGACAAGCGAATATGGAATCNTCCTTCTAATCCTTGTTCGAGTCTGGAGCATTCGAGATGAGCTAGGAGTTGTCCAAGTTCTAAAAGTAGTAATGCTCTTACTTCTTAGCCATCTTAACACTGACCAGATGGCCCAGCATGTGTAGACTTGGCTCGACGCCGACTCGGTGGTACATTACCACATATGACACCAAAGTAGCATTGGAGTTTGACTTGATCTGTGAAGGATATACTCCCAGGGCCTCATAGACGTGATGGATGAAGGGGTAAAGCAATAGTCGGAGGCCATACTCCAAATGCTTTAGATAGATCAGAGCCATATATATAGCTTTTGACCTCTCTGTCGCTGATAGAGTGAAAGCCTTAGGGAGATCGAAGCGACTATAGTAAGTTTTCAGCTCTGTTGCATAGATCTTTAAGCAAAATAGGCAGAGGATGTCAATCCTCATCTCATTTTAGCCAGAAGTGGAGACAATG